TCTCTCTCTCTTTTTTTTTTTTTTTCCTTTTTGTCTTTTTTCGTGTCCGGCAACGGATCGCAACCCTCAGTGTCGTGCCCGTACCAGACCGGGACCGGCAACGGGATCGCAACCCTCGGTGTTGTGGCCGCACCTCGCTCAGCCAGTGAGCGGGAACCAGTCTGTATGTGGGATCTGAACCCTCGGCGGGAGCGCCGCTACACTCCCAAGCGGCGCACTGTAGCAGTGCGCCACCCGGCCGGCCCCTATGCATATCTCTTTTAATGTGGGATGCAGAATAATTGACATCCATATGGACGACGTAGGGATTCCAAGAAAAGTAAGAGTGCATGGAGCCTGTGGAGGTTTTAGAGAAGCCCTTGTTGGTAGCGAGAAGTTTTCCCTCAAGCCTTACCAGAAGTTCTGAAATGGCACGGTCTCCTCCACTTGCAAATAGTGCTGGCCCCACATCTCTTCTGGACCAGCCTGCACTGTGACCAAGTCTGAGGGTGAAAGGTGTTTCTTAGTCCCAAGGTGAAAACCACTCAAAAGAACAGCATTTTCAAGGAAGGAAGGAAGTCAATGCCCCAAAGAGGCAATGGCTGGTTTGAAAGAAGAGGAAAAATATATGCTGAATTTTTCGATCTGTCAAATGAGAGGCATATTCTCAAGTGAATAGATGCAATCCACCGGGGCTTAATTACTGAGCTTGGGGAGGAAAAATAAAACACATAAATAATATGTTTATCCTGTGGGGCTATATGATGTATGCAGGACATAATCATGAAAATATGAAGTGGATAATGTGTAAGGTTATCCTGGCCGTTCCCTAGAGACAGTCTGGGGTCAGTACCACTTTGTATTCCAGACTCTTCTGTCACATCTAATTGGAGGCATGGTTTAGGGTTCTTTTGCCATTTTTTTTTTAAGTCAGAGATTTTCCATGGAAGTGTAGGGTGTCATTTAAAACCTTCTGGGGTGTGTGTATCATCTTCTGTTTCCTCTGTAAACCCAGATCCTCCTAGCCTCTGGAGAACCATATAGCTCAGGAGAGTAAGTAGAGGAAAAAACAAAACTCCTTCACTTTTCTCTGAAAAATCCACATGCCCAAATTCTTAGAGCAGCTGAGCTGATGGCAGGGGTGGCAAGGGGGCTGATGACTCCAACTCCAAGCATCTCAGGCTGACTGCACAAGGGCTGCTGCTATGATAACAATCTTTTAAAGTTGCGTAGGGCTCCCAAAAGTTCCTAGGTGCTTTATCATCCACTCTCGCCTGGGCAATTCATGACAACTCCAGGAGGCTGTAAGTCAAGTATGGGCCTCCTTTTCCAGATAAGGAAACATAGAGAGGGTAAGTGACTAGTCCAAGGCCACACAGTTGGTGGGTGGTGAGGGCAGCACCCAAACCCAGCCATTTGGTCCCACATCTCAGTGATTCCTTCCACATAACTGGGATGGGTTTTGTCCCACTTTTCCTTTGGAAGGGTGAGTAGCACTCCCCACAAACAACTAGGAGAATGCTTGATTGGTATGTATGCCTCCTACGGTAATATAAGAAAAAGCCCAGGTGGCTAATTCAGGATGGGCCTTCAGGGAGAGGAGCCTATACCTAGAGAGGGTCACAAAGTAACATGGGTGGGCCCCCAATTGTTTCATTTAGAAACTTGATTTTTGGCTTTTAGGCATAGTGGGGGAAAGCCCTGGATGTGGAATGAGGTGAGCTGGGTTCAAGCCTGCTCTGTGCTACCTGGGTGATGGTAAGGAGGTTTTTAAATGTATAGTCCCCAAATCCCTGTTTCCAAAAGGATTCACTGATTTTCAAAAATGATTATTTCCTTGCAAGATAAATGGTTATGGTGCAAGATAAAACACTGAGAATAAGTGAAAAAATTAGGAAAGGGACACGATAAGTAGGGTATTGTGAAGCACCCTTAGGAATGAATGGTGAAGGGCTGAGGCTCAAGGATGCACTTGGGTAAAGGGTAAAGTGAGGGTATCATTACACATATTACCTGGTAATAAAGAAACTAAAAAGTTTAATGGTTTGTGTTTTGGGGTAGTCCATGGTAGACCCTAATTTCTTCAGCATCAAGGGAGTCACATCAAATATTTCCACTGAGGGCAAAATGGGACTCAGAGTGAGATTCCCAAAATACGTTGCATGGAGTCCTGTACAATTCTGGAGAAGGGCCACAAAGTGGGCTGGCAGCTTCTAAGCTGCCGGAGCAAGAAGGAACCACAGTCTGATTCAGGAGCCAGAGAACCTTTTCTTTAACGGGCCAGATAAGTAATTTAGGTTTTGCAGGCCACATACGTCTCATTTACATTCTCTTTTTTGTTTATTTGTTTTGTTTTATTTTGTTTTTCACAGCCATTAAAATTCTTAGCTTGTAGACCATACAAAAGCAAGCCGTGGGCCAGATTTGACCACAGTTTACTGATCTTCATTGAACAGATGCTCGCTGTCAAAAGGGTAAAAACCAATTGCTAGAGGGAGACACAATCGCTGTGGATGCTAAAATCGTAGAGAAATGGTTTAGTGAATCTTCATGGAGTGGACACTGCACAGCGGCAGTCATTTGTTTTAATGGTCATCTAGGGGAAGGACTGATATCCTCTGTTGAAAGCTGATGAACCAGACGAGGATGTTGCTGATTCCAAACATGTATCAGCCCCACTTGAGGTGAGAGGCAAGTCGTTCTACCTCTCTGAGCCTCTGTTTTCTCCTCTTCTCTAAGATGGGGATAATAATAAGTATCCTGCTCGCCTTCCAGGGTAATTGCAAGGATCAAATGAAATTTTATATGTGAAATTGCCTTGTAAACGATTCTAACAACCATTCAAACGTTAGTTACTATTTATCAGCTCAGGCATAGTCAGTTGCAGGGGAGCTGGTCTGTGACAGGCACACTCACAAGAGACCATGTAAGTGCCTATTCTGGAGAAGATTCCAATCTAGCAAGAGAAGACAAGCAAAAGGGGCAGCACATACAAAGACATGCACGCACGAGCCTGATCTCCAGGAGCTCACGGTGGGGCAGGCTGAAATGGCACCGACGGAACAAAACTAAAGAT